CAAATCAAATTAGCAAGTTACAAACATATACATGAGGTGAGAATCATGTTTCTAAGCAACCAAACAGAACATTCTTCCAGTACAGATTAAAATCTTTATCAATATTTATATGTATAAAGTCACAAAAGTCAGACCAAAATGTTTTTGTAAAACAACAATACCAAAATAAATGAACAGCAGTCTCAGGGGAGTTTCCACAGAAAGTGCACATAGGGTCAATATCTACTTTAAACCTCTTACAATAGACTTTCACTGGATAAACTCTGTGAATAAGCTTAAAGGAAACCTCTTTAAATTTGTTAGTTACTAAATAAAGATTAGGTAAAAGCCAGACCTTTTCCCACTTCAAATCATCCACAAACTGATTCAAACACAAAATAGCCCCAGATTTCATGGTAATCTCTTTTTGGAACAGCGATCTTATGGATTTGTTTTTCTTACGATGGTGAGAGGAAAAACAGATTTTCCCTGCAGAGGAATGAACTGGAGTAAGTGTAGGAACAAATTGGTTATCAATCCTTGGCTGATATTTAAACAACATGCATATACCGGAAGAGATAGCACCAAATACTTCTGTATAATCTCTAGGAGTTATAGGAATATTATATCGTTGTAAGAATTCCTCATAAGTAAACAACAGGCCATCATCATTAAACAGCTGATATTCGTCAACAATATTGCATTATACATTTAGTTATAGTCATCGTCACACGACCAGCATTTTCGTTGCGTCTCGTCTCGTTTTTGTCACGCGATAAAGGTTCGTTGACGATATTTAGTCATAATTTTTGATGACGAAAGCGACTGTACTTGACAGTACGTGAAAAGGAAGGTAGCAGCGCAGCTGTGTTTGGCTCAAATGTACAGGCTACAGGTATGTGCCAAAAAATTAGAATATCGAGGGAAAGTCCATTTATTTCAATAATTTGTTTCAAAAAGTGAAACTTGTATGTTATATTAGTTCACTGCACACAAAGTGAAATATTTCAAGCCTTTATTTGTTTCAATTTTGATGATTATGGAATAAAGACAAAAAAAACCCAAATCCAGTATTTCACAAAATTAGAATATCATGACAAAGTTCAACATTGTAGGCTCCCTGTGTCCCAATCTAGTCAGCTAATTAATGCAAAACACCTGTTAGAATTGGATTTCAGGAGTTGCAGTTGTTTTATTTACTGTTAGTATTATTTTGCATTTATAATGATAAAGTTTATTATGACTGTTTGTGTTTTATTAGCAAGCTTGATGGTTTTCTACACAGTAATTTAAATAGGAAACTAGACAAATGTGTCACTTCACCTTCTCCCAGGTGTTTCTTTATTTGAGGTGCAGTAGGACCTCAGTTAAAATCAACCTTTAACAGTAAGTGCAATAAGTAATAACAATAACCTTTAAGCTCAGCAACCCAACGTACAGGCATCCTGTATACATACACAAATGGTAGACCTCTGTGGTTCTCTGAGTAACCAGAAAAGAAATAAGATCATACATTAAGTTCAAATAACAAAAATGAAGCTTAACACATGTTTTTAGAGAAATAGACACGGTAGTTTTTGACCTACTGAATGAAGCTTCCCAGAGACTGAGCCTTGAGGTCGAACGGAGTTCTGCGAGCAGTGTGGCTGAGCTTGGGCGCCCGGCATTCAACATATCTTTGGAAGCCCTGCAGGATTATGTCTTAGCCGGTGTAACAGTTCGTGATATTGCTCATCTGCTTGGAGTTGGTGAAAGAACTATCTACCGTCGAATGGCCCAGTATGGCATAAGGTAGGAGATAACACATTAACAGGCCTACATAACTGGACTGTGTTTGTATGCAGCTAAGCTAACTGTGAAATGGGTTGCGAGCAGGCAAAGACCCATTTACAATAATTATATATGTTGTTGGAAATAAGCTATAAAGCTCCTTTAA